CTCTCTCTCTCTCTCTCTCTGGAACATAATCCCCCCCCCCCGAGATTAGAATGGCCCCCACTCTAGCACTTTTCCAGAAGGCGTTGAAAACCTGGTTCTGCCAGCAGGCCTGGGGAACCCAGAGCAGGATGGAGCCCATTCAATGGCTCATGTGAGGTGTTGTTGTCAGGGTGACGGGTGAGCTGGGCTATTGTATTATTTTATTAATTTATTATTTGATTATTTTCTTTTATTTTTTTAATATATGATGTTTTTATAGACCTCGTGTGAATAGGCGGCAATATACATTTTCTAGTAAATAAATAAATAAGTTTGAAGGAGGAAGTGCTAAACTTGTGGGGGTGGGGGAAAGGAGAAATGGAGGCCTCCAGAATGTTTTGCCAAGGTTGGCCAAGGCATCGGAGCCAAGCCAGGAAGTGCAAATTCTCTCCGGTGGGAGGCAGCTAAGTGTTTCTGCTTAGAGTTTTAAGCGTTTGTGGCTCACTTTTTGAAGTGCCAGCTCCTTCTTGCCTTCTTCGGGGGTTTTCTTCCTTTCGGGGATCGAGGGTGGAGGTGGGGAAGGCTGCTTGGAGGCTGAGTTTCGCCTCTCCCGGCCAATCGAATGCACCGAAGACTCCGAGGTGGTCCGAGACCGCCGCCCAACGCCCTGTTGCGACATAACAACCAAGTTCAGTTTTTCGGAAAGTTTAAGAAGAGACGTCTTCAATAAAGTTGCAAGTTGCAAGAGAGAGGGGGAGAGAGAGAGAGATTTGCGTGGCAGCAAATCAGTTTCAGGGGCATACCATGTGGGCTGAAGACTGGGAGGTCGATCGGGATCGTCGGCCTGGGCCCTGGACGGAAACAAAGTCAGCACACCTGAACAAGCAGCAAAGACCACACCTAAACAGCCGTGGGCAGCAAAAATCCCACCGGCTCAAATCCCAGGAGTGGATTTGTCATGTTGCAAAGAAAAGGGGAGGGGGAAAAAAGACAACCAGGAACTCATATGCGGAATCTTCTTTACTTACCAGGTTATTCCACTCCTGGCCACTGACCTCCAGACGGAAGGGATGCAGGAAGCCCGGCTCCTGGCTCACCGGAGCCTCTGGCCTTCACAGCCTGAGGCCCTGCTTGTGGTGCACATGCCCTAGAGAAAGCCCAAGGCCATCGGCCCCACCGCCACCACTTGGCAGGCAAAATGTGGCTGACCAAGGGGGCCGTGGACTTCTTCTACTGAAGTGCTCAGAGAAAAAGTCATTCTAGAACCTCTTCACAAATTGGGCCATTCCGGAATGAACGGGCCCAAATTAAGCCAGAGCACGCAAGGCAGGCTTGGAAACTTCCCACAAGACCTCGGGCGCAATGTGGCCGCACAATGACGGTCACTAATAAAGAGAGAGAAAGAAACTGGCCAATACCATGATCGCCATCTTCCCGTAGAAGTCTTCCTCTCCGGACTTTGGAATTGCCTTCCATACGGGAAGTTCAGACACCCCTGGGACCATGCAAAAAGAGAAAGAGGGAAGGGCAGGTAAACTTCGTTCTCCCCAATGAGGGGGAGAAGAGCCACCTGCCTGTGAGATGAGTGGCTATGATAGACGGATGAATGAATGAATAAATCCCTGTGGGGCTTGGTGATACCACGTGGGCAGGTCCATCCAAGACAGGGGTGTCAAACTCAATTTCATTGAGGGATACATCAGGGCTGTCGTTGACCTTGCGGGGGTCGGGCAGGCATGGCCAACTGGGTGGGCATGGCCAACTTGATGCTCTCCCTGAGTGTGGCCGACTGAGTGGGCGTGGCCAGCTTGACACCACTCCCCAAACTGCTGGATATGTTTCCTCTTTGTATTGGGTAGTCTGGGCAGAAGCGAGGCGGGCCGGCCCCTCACATTTTCCAGGATGGCCCCATGGGCCGGATCCGGCCTGTGGGTCTTCTGTTTGACACCCTTGACTTAGGAGCTACTCCCAGCTAATACCTCTACTTCTTTATCAGAGATGGGACTACAATGAGAGGGAGCCTCCAAGGGCCAACAAAGGCAAGGAGAAATATGGTGAAGCTTCCCTGCTGAATTCCCCAAGGAGGATGGGATCCTAAACATGCTTTTTAAATGGCAAAAGCCATGGCCGGATCCCTTCCCTTTCCATCTCCTCTCTGACTTGCAATTCCTTAGAAATTTTGCAGACAAACTGCAGGCTCCACAGGGGCTCTGGAGAAGGAAGTTTGCTGGCCGATTCTTCCCCACCCATTCCCTGCCCAGGCGAACCTGCTTCATGCTGAGTCCCCTCGTGTGGTGGCAGCTCGGGGCCCTGAGGAGGTAGTCCTGCTGGCAGCACCGCTGGCGCCCCGTACGTGGGGTTCAACTCGGCTCCGTAGGGGTTCAGGGAGCCAGGTCCCGGGCCCATCGAGGTGGGTACCCCAGAGTGGAAAGGAACTGTAGCGGCAGGCTCCGGTTGGGAAGGGAGGGTCAGAGCCGCTGAGCCCTCCAGGATGGTAGGAGGAGCTAGAGAAAGGATGGAAAGAGAACAGAGTTTGCATCCTGTAATAAGCAAGAATCCAGAATGAGCCTGACTCCTCATTCTGTCTGGCACAGGAGCAGGAGGAGTCTGGAAGTGTTGTGGTCCACCAGCGGCTTGCAGAGCTCACAGCAGAGGCTGACAGTGAGAAGGTTGGGGAGGAACCTGGGCCAGTCCTGGAGTCTGGGGAAGGCTCTGACGAGGGCTCTGTGTCAGAGGCAGAGGGGGGGCCAGGGCCATCTGGGAGTTATGTGCTGCCTCCAGAGTGGGACAGCAACGAGGGAGAGGAACAGGCTCTCCCTGCTTCCAATGCGCGCATGCACAGAGCTGCCACAAGTCAAGAACAGTTAAAAGAGAAGGGACGATTCGGCAGTAAAGTTTGAAGGTGATTGGCCCCTCTCATAGGACATAAAGGAGAAGTAAAGGCACGTGAGCCTTTGCAGGGAACAACTTGGTTCATGCTGGTCAGTTTACCTTCTGGAAATACGTTTAGACTCTTTGCTCCGTGTGACCATATCAGCCTTACCCCGAAGGACTTTGGCAGACTGCTGCAGAACTCTTTACTACTATTTGGAACTCATTATGGGCTGTGAATGAATATAATTCACAACTTTTGAAATAAAAAGAGGGGTTTTGGACTTAATTGTGTGTGTTTTACTGTATCAGGAGAACACACACAATTAAGGTCAGAAGAGAAGGGCAGCCAGTGAAGGCTGCAGGTGGCCTCAGAGCAGCCAGCATCCTTCATTCACACAGCCGGTTGCTTGGCCCCCATCAAAGGAGCAAGTGGGATGCTTCCTAATACATGGGCAGCCTCTACCTCCCACAAGACTGCCTGGCATTTGGTTCCCATGCTTTCCACGTTTTCAGGCCACGAAGGGGAGCCTCCCGCAAGCCCTGCACCCACCTGAAGGCATCAAGTGCACCTTCTGCCCGGGCTGGACCATGTTGGGCAGCAGGGAGGCCAACAACGGGTTGTTGGAGCTCACTTCTAGGCCGCTTCCCAGGCCTTCGTTCTGACTGGGGTGGTCGTGCTCCGAGCTCGGCGTGCTGGAGGAGTACTGCTGGGGTGTGAATCGCCCTAGGCTGCAGCCGAAGCAGCCCTCCTGCAACAAGATGGGAGCCAATGGACGCTTTCAGCTAAGACCAGCCATTCGACGCCACTGCCCAGCCCCAGGCATAACACACACACACATTATTGCAAGGCTTTTGGGAATTCAAGTAGGGGATTTGTAGCAGATTTCCACCTTGGGGGGGGGGGGGGAACAGTCTAGCTGGCCTAAGCTCTTTATTCCTGGAAAAAGTCTTGGAAAAAATTCAGAGAAGAGCAACTAAGATGACCAAAGGCTTCGAGACTAAAACATAGGAAGAGCTTCTGCAGGATTTGGGTCTGGCTAGTCTAGAGAAAAGAAGAATTAGGGGGGTGGGGACATGATATAAGTATTCCGATATTTCAGGGGCTGCCACAAAGAAGGGGGGGTATCAACTTGTTTTGCAAAGCACCTGAGGGTATAGGACAAGAAACAATGGATGGAAACCAATCAGGGAGAGAAGCAACCTGGAACTAAGGAGAAACTTCCCAACAGTGAGGACAATTAACCAGTGGAATGGTTCTCCTCCAGAGGTTCTGGGAGCTCCATCACTGGAGGTTTTTATGGTTAAATCACCCTGCGGAATGATCCCAAATTTCATCAGCCTCCGTGGAGACCTCACTGGTCTTGCCTTCCGCCTGAACTCTCCCACTTAGAAGCCTTGAAAATCAGTCCAGGGAATTCTCAACTTACGACCATAATTGAGCCCAGAATTTCTGTTGTTAGGTGAGTTTTGCTCCATTTTACAACCTTTCTTGCCTCAGCAGTTAAGTGAATCCCTGCAGTTGATAAGTTAGGAACCCGGATAACTTATCCTCAGCGGCATCTCTACGCCTCAGAGGGAGCCTGGAATGGAGCTGGACCCAACAGCATCCACCTGCTGCAAAGGAGGTGAAACTCACCTTAATCTGCTCGTCTAAGTGTCGAAGATGAATGAGCCAGTTGGGCTCAATAAATAATTCCTGCTCAGGCTTCTCCTTTATCTGAGGGTCAAAGAGCCGCAATTGAGAGGAAATCTGTAAAATGAAGAATGAGGAATTAAAGGCATATCAGGCCTTAGGAAGACCAGGAAGACCTAGAATCCTGCATCCGGTTTTGGTCCCCACACTACAAAAAAGAGGTTGAGACTCTGGAAAGAGCGCAGAGAAGAGCAACCAGGATGATTAGCTCAAACATACAATGAACGGTTGCAGGAACTGGGCATGGATGGTCTAGGGAAGAGAAGGACCAGGGGAGACAGGGAAGCATCTTCCAATATTTGAGGGGCTACCACAGAGAGGAGGGGGTCAAGCTGTTTTCCAAGGCATCTTTGAAGGCCAGACAAGGAACAATGGATGGGAACTGAACAAGGAGAGATTCAGCCAGGAAATAAGGAGGAACTTTCTGACAGTGGAAGAATCAACCAGTGGAACAGAAGTTGTGGGAGCTTCATCACTGGAGGCTTCCAAGGAGAGACTGGGCTGCCATCTGACAGAAATGGTGAGGGGTCTCCTCCTTGGGTGGTGGGTGGGGTGGGGAGGTTGGACTAGATGACCTACAAGGTCCCTTCCAACTCTGATAACCTGACATTGTCTGCGGTCCAAGGAATTGTGACGCTACATATTTGGAGGGCTCGAAGTTAGTGAAGGTTGGGAAAAGGGATGGTATACAGGAAAAATGGGTGCTGTGATCTGAAATAGCTGCCAAGCTCCGGAGTCCCAGAAAAAGGACAGGGGTCCCTGGCTTCCCCCTCCCCTGACGGTTCAAGTGAGTCATCCGTCTTGCTGGAGAGTTAGCTTACCTGGATCACCTGGCTGATAAGAACCGGCGAATAGCAGCCGGGGTTTGTAAGGATGGCCTTGGAAATGACTTCGCAGTAGTGGAAGGCTTGTGCGATGAGCCCCATCTCAGCCAGCCGGCAGGCATAGAGGAACTTGAACACCTGAGAATGCAGAGGAGGTTTTGAGACGCTGGTTAATACCAACCGAGGACGGGGTCAGATCAAAGGCCAGCCTCCATTGCCTTCCGCTTCCATTTCCTTAGCGGTAATTACAGGCAGTCCCCCACTTATGACAGTTCATTTAGTGAATGTTCAAAGTAAAAACTTCACTGAAAAAAGGGACTTGTGACTATTTTCGACAGTTACGACCTTTCCAGCATCCCCATGGTCATGTGATCAAAATTCAAATGCTTCATATTTATGACGGTCATGCAATCCCCTTTTGCGACCTTCTGACCAGCAAGTCAATGGGGGAAACCAGAGTCCCTTAACGAACAGGTTACTAACTTATCAGCTGCAGGGGTTCACTTAACAACAGTGGCAGCAAAGGTGTTTAAAATGGGGAAAAACTCACTTAACGAAGGAATTGTTGGGCTCCATTGTGGTCGTAGGTCGAGACCTACCTGTAATTACATTTACTCCCATGTCATATAGTTAATCATTTTCCTCTTCTGTCACCCTAAGAATTAAAGATTGTGCAAAAAAAACCTGATACGAGGCACTGATATATTATTTAATTTATTAGCGTATTTTTCAGAGTAGAAGAAGCACCTTCCCCCCCAAAAAAGAGGGTGAAAATCTAGGTGCGTCTTATACACTGAATACAGCATTTTTGGCCTACCAAAACCCCGCCCCCTTTGCAAAAATGGACGTGCAGAGGGTTTGGGAGGTTTGCAAAGTGCTTGTGGGGGCTGGAGAGGGCAAAAACATTTTTTGCTCATTTTTGCCCCCCTCAATCCCCTAGGAGCACTCTACAAGCGTCCCAAAGCTCTGCATGCCCCCCCCTTTTTTTTTTTTGCAAAAAACAAGGCATACAAAGGGTTTGGGAGGCCTGCAGAGTGCAAAAACTTTTTTTTTAATTTACCTCTTCAAAATCATGGTGCGTCTTATACTCCGGTGCGTCTTATAGTCTGAAAAATACAGTACTTTCTTCCCTATCCCTTTCACAGCCCATACCCTACTGATTTATAACCTTTATCCTGGCACCTAGGTGCTCTGAGATTTTCTCACCTTTTGGGGAATGAAAAGGGAGGGAGGGGCCACGTGGGTTGTATGGCGTGAAAGCTGGCAGAAGATGACCCCTAGAAAGTTTCCTTATCAAGTTCTCAGGACAGCCGTTACAGAAACACCTCCACATCTGCGGATTGGCTCAATCCACACTGAACTGAAGGGAGGGGTTCCTACTTCCTCTATCCTAACTTGCCTGAGGGAATTCAGAGTCTGCTTTTCTTTCGTCTTGCTATCACTCCAGTTCAATAAAAGGTTCCTTTTGAAATGCTAAATTTCAAGAGTCTTTACTTTCTTGAATGAGGAGGAGAGGCTGGACCTTACACGGGCCCAATAGATTTGCAAGCAGCCTATAAAACCACCTTTCATGTCAAGGGACTATGATTGTCTGCAGTCAACTAAAGATTTTCTGGCCACTCCGGAGGAAATAGTAATTGATCTTCCCCCTCCCTTGTAGCAAGCAAACAAGTTATATTTTAAAGTTGTATTTTGAACAATGTTGTAACTCGTTTCAATGTTAAAATAAGGAACTTGTAAAAAGAAAGAAAGAAAGAAAGAAAGAAAGAAAGAAAGAAAGAAAGAAAGAAAGAAAGAAAGAAAGAAAGAAGGAGGGGGGAAGAAGAAGGCAGGAGGGAGGGAGGGAAGAAGGAAAGAAGGAAGGAAGGAAGGAAGGAAGGAAGGAAGGAAGGAAGGAAGGAAGGAAGGAAGGAAGGGATGCAAACCTGGAAGTTGGGCAGGCAGCATGGCTGAGTCCCCAGGGACTGCGCGTACTCGTAGGTCTCTGTCCGCTGAATGGCCTCATTGCTGGCAAACTTCAGAAAAGGCAAGCTAAGAGTGGGAAAAGAGAGAACGGTGCCCTTCTTCAATGGCCCATAACAGCTTCTGAAGCAGCACTGTGAGTCTGTCTGGAGCCGTTGAAAAGAAGGGAGTGGGTTTAGCTTTGCCCCTCAAAGGACTTGGGGGTGGGGGAGCAAGCAACCCTCCTTTCATAAGTTTACAACAGAGGCCCCGGAGTCCTTTGCTGGAATTCCTAATTAAAACATGAAAGCGCACCCTGCTGAAGGCTTGGCAAGCCCCAGTGACATGTATCCCGTTCCGTGCCTATCAACAGAGCTGCTTTTGATGTGCCAGCCTCTCTATACAGCAGTGGGAGAGAACACCCAGAGCTGCACCAAGCCCTCTGCATCTCTGCCACGCAAACGAGGCTGCGTGGTGCAAATACCTGAGATACAAATGGAACTGCAGGAACTGCAGGGCAGCAACGTCTGGCCAAGGTGGCCAACAAGCGCCTGGGCTCCTCTGGAGAAGCAGCGTCCCAGGTCTGTAGCAATAGCCCTTAGAGTTATATACCGCTTCATAGTACTTTCTGGCCCTCTCTAAGCGGTTTACAGAGTCAGCCATTTGCCCCCAACAATCTGGGTCCTCATTTTTCCCACCTCGGAAGGATGGAAGGCTGAGTCAACCTGGAGCCTGGTGAGATTTGAACTGCCAAAATGCAGGCAGCCGGCAGTCAGAAGGAGCCTGCAGTACTGCACTCTAACCACTAAGCCACTGAGGCGCTGTAGTGAGAGAAGTGGAAGGAACCAAGGGGGGAGTTCGATCCCGAGGGAGAAAACTGGAAGGGTCTCCACACACCTGTGGTTTGCACCGATCAGCACCAGCTTGGTGGTCTTCTTGGTGTAGACGCCAAAACTCTCTTGGGCCATCAGGTAGCAGAAGTGGGCAGCATCCAAGAGGCCTTTGGAAGCTGCAACCAAAGACAAACAGGGAATCCTCTCAGGAAACAGGTCCCACTGGGAGCATCCCTGAATCCCACCCCGCTTCTAGGGGTTTACAACCTCAAAGGCTTGATTGATATAGACAGGACCACCAGGACGGGAAGGATAGCAATAGCCTTTATATACCGCTTCACAGTGCTTCACAGCCCTCTCTAAGTGTTTACAGAGTCAGCCTCTTGCCCCCAACAATCTGGGTCCTCCTTTGACCCATCTCGGAAGGACAGAAGGCTGAGTCAACCTTGAGCCTGGTGAGATTCAAACTGTCAAAATTCAGGCAGCCGGCAGTCAGCAGAAGGAGCCTGCAGTACTGCATTCTAACCACTGTGCCACCGTGGCTCATATGGTACAGAATGGGTCTTCTCACACCTGCCTTGAGCATCTTTCAGTCAAACTGGCTGAGATTTGACCGTCTCTCAGAAATGCATCAGGAATTTTTCTTACTATTTAGTGTCACCTTCCTTACTTAAAAAAAACAAGCTTATTCCAGATTTGCTCCCAGATTCTATGATGGGCTTCCTTAGTGTTACTGGTCCCATCTTTTAGAAGAAACTGCCTCTTCTGAACGGTAAATGGTAACTTTTTATACACACATATAGAACGTACTATAAATAAGAAGATTTATGGAGAAATCCCTTAAGGTTAACAATATAAAAGTTACACTGAATCTGGAAACTCTGGAATAAACTCTTTCGGGCATCACGGTTCTACCAGCCATGTCCAGAGGGAGGAGTGGCTAAAAGAATTATTCTAAGAAATTGGAAAAGCCATACTATTCTAAATATTAAGGATCTTTGGAAATGTCTAAGTTATCTGTTTTTGCAAAGGCAAAGTAGAGAATACAGGCTAACAGAGTTGGAAGAGACCTTGGAAGTCTTCTGGTCCAACCCCTGCCCAAGCAGGAGACCTTATACCCATGAGGCAAACCTATGGCACGCGTCTCTAGGACACATTTTTCAGAGCCGTTGTAACTTTGAATGGTTCCTAAAGGAACCGTTGTAAGTCGAGGACTGCCTGCATATAAAAAAAAAAACCAGAAAAGATTATTCTAAAAAACCTACAGGGGTCACTTGATCCTTGCTAAGCGCATTCTTTGCAGCCCCACCGAAATTACCTCAAGGCCTTGCTCTGTCCTCCTGAAAGCCCCCCCCCTTGCCTTTTAAGGGCTCTACAACCTTGCCCACTTCCAAGACTTGTGGACCTCAACTCCCAGAATTCCTCAGCCAGAAAGCTGCCAACCTTGCCCACTTTAAGACTTGTGGACCTTGCTGGTTGAGGAATTCTGGAAGTTGAAGTCCACAAGTCTTAAAGTGGCCAAGGTTGGAGACCCTGTTTTAAGTCATATTTAACGTCACATTTTAAGTACCCCTGCCCCAACTTTAAATTTTTATATTCAGCTTTTGTGTTTTAACTTTTATTTCTACAAAGCCCTGAATGCCTCTATGAAGGAGTTGGTGATGGCTAAACATGATGGGCGTCAATCTATATACACATACATACATAAATACATAAATACGTACATACACACACACACAAATGGCTGTGTGTGTGTGTGTACATGTTCCAAGATTACCGGCGATATCCCTGCCGCTGGACGGTCCTTTTGGACCTAAACCGTCCCGCAGAGACGGTGATAGAGAAGGGCACATCCTGCTGATCCCAGGGACATCGCAAAGTCCNCCATGGGTTGATTGTTCTCATTGTCAGAAAATTCCTCATTTCCAGGTTGAATCTCTCCTTGTTCAGTTTCCATCCATTGTTCCTTGTCTGGCCTTTGAGTGCTTTGGAGAATAGCTTGACTCCCTCCTCTCTCCCCTCAAGTATTGGAAGATGCTATTGTGTCTCCCTTGGTCCTCTTCCCTAGACCAGCCTTAGAGTGAAACCCAACAGCCTTTGCCTTGCAACAACCAATCTTGAGCAATGGGGGAGCTATGGGGGAGCATCTTGTCCTTATTACACTGATCAGCCCCACCCAGTCAGGCAGGGAAGGTTTAACCCCGTCAATTGAAGAATTTTGACTGGTGGGATCTAGGAAGAGACCCTTCTCTGCCCCTGCCCTATGGAACACCCTCCCCCTCAAAGTGGGATAGGCGCCCACTCTCTTGGCCTTCTGGATGAGCATGTGGGGTTCAAAGAGTGCTGTGCAACTTTTGAGTATTTGGTGCCTTGAGGCCTTTTAAATTATCTCTTAACCTTTGTTTTTACTTATTCCTCATCCTGTTTTCAGTCTAATTTTTAACTGTATCCTTTTTTTTTACACTTTTTTTACAATTAACTGCCCAGAATCACTTAAGTGAGATGGACGGTGCCCAAATTTGATATATGAACACAAGTAGTCCTCGATTTATGACAGTTCATTTAGTGACTGTTCAAAATTATAACGGCACTGAACATGACTTATGACTGTTCTTCACACGGCCATTGCAGTATTCCCATGTTCACATGATGAAAGATGCCTGGCAACTGGTTCATATTTACGACGGTCGCAGTCTCCTGGGGTCACGCGATCCCCTTTTGTTAAGATTCACTTAACAACTGCGATGATCCACTTAACAACTGTTGCAAGAAAGGTGCTAAATTGGGGGCAAAACTCACTTAACCAATACTTTCCTTCGCAACGTGAGTGTTGGGCTCCACTGTGGCCGTAACTCGAAGGCTGCCTGTAGAGCTAAAGGTTAAGCAGCTGCTGCCCATCTCGCTGGCTGGTTCTCCTCACTCACCTCCATGCTGTGGATCTCGACCAAGGCTGGCTGGCCTTCGGAGGGAAGGTTGGGTAGCACTTTGATCAGCTGACCCCCAGGCCCAAATTTTGTACACACGTGGGGTATGGAGAACTTCTCAGGAGTCAAAGGTCTGGAAGGGACTGCAGCCGAGGAAGAAACAAGAGAGGAGAAAGAGATTTAAGGAAGGAAGATACTCAGGGATGGCTTCGCACTTCTATCTACCATCAGGCAGAAGATATTGAAGCAGAGCCAGCCGAACAAATCAGTTGAAAAAAACTTTCTATCCTTGGGCTGTTGGACTCTTAAACACAACCACAATCACTCCACGCACACGCGAAAACACAGGACTAGTTTTCTTGTTCTTTCTTTTTCTCCCCCTCCCCTAATTACTTGCATAGGGATTATTCTTTATACTATTTGTGTGGTTTGTATTTTTTGTCATTGATTGCACCAGTGAGGCTAAAACCAATTCCATTGTATACAGGATGTACAGTGACAATAGAGGCTATATTATTATACCGAACTGCACTGCACTGCACTAGACTAGACTACATTTTAAACCTAAGACAGAAAAATCACCCTGCAGTTTTGGCTGGCCCAGTGCTAACCACCCTAAAGTCGGGACCTGGAAGAGGGCAAACTGGGCTACTGACGCATCCCGCCTTCCCCGCCAGCCTAGCATGGATTCCCAGCATATGTGCCAGTTTTGCTTTCACTCCTTGCCGGAGAAGCTAAGATAGAACCGCTTCATTACAATTCTGCACAGCGCCATTCAAAAGAGAATGAAAATTCATATAACCCCCAGAGCTGCACTTCTCAATCTCTGCAGCATTCAAAGGTTAGCAGATTAGTAACAGTAACAGAGATGGAAGGGACCTTGGAAGTCATCTAGTCCAACCCCCTACTCACGCAGGAGACCTGTACTAGGGATTTGGACCGCCGAACTGTGGACCTTTCTGATCGACAAGCTCAGTGTCTTAGCCACTGAGCCATGCAGACTTCCACCATGCCGGCTGGGGAATTCCGAGAGTTGAAGTCTTGTAGTTGCCAAGTCAGAAGCGAACGCAACCAGGGTCTGAAATCCTGGGTGGATGGGAAGTGGCTGAAAGGAATTACCTCCATATCCAGATTTCATCCAATCTCCCCCTATAATTTGTATTTGGTTTATTTGTATGCCACCCTTCTCCAGGAGAGACTCAGGGCGGCGAACAACTCATGGGGGAGAGGGAACATAAACACAGTACACATAATTAAAATACACGAAAATCACACAGCCATACCAGTCGAGAGGGGAGGGGAACTCATCAACCCCAGGCCTGCCGGTGTTGATGAGTTTCCCTTTCATTCCTGGGAAGCTGATGAATGAAGAATGACTTCCCTTGTTCTTTTTTTAAAAAAAAGGAGGAGGGGGGGGGGGGGGGGGGGGGGGGGGGGGGGGAGTAAGCAGGAAAGAAAAAAATAGAGAAAAAATGGAAAGAATCCAACCCAAAAT